CACACACACACACACACACTTCTCATTCAACCACAGTTAAATTCACTCTATCTAAGAGGCACAATTTATATAGATAGTATTTATTTTTACAATAACAAGCTGGAATAAAAACAAGCAAAAATGAAATCAAAGTAACAACTTTACTTTTAGCCATTTTTAAAATGTAAGAAGTAGAAAGTACAGATAATTGCCTGAAGATATTAGGAGTAGATGCAAAATGTCACTGCATAAATAACCAAGATTTCTGCTTAGGTAAAGTGATAGAAGTACTGTAGTTTAATTTGTTACTTTACAACTCTGACTTTTTCCTACCCACTACATATCTGATAACATCAAATTCCTTTATTTTATTTTTTTTGACTAATTTTTGATTGTACTCATTACCATGTCCTTGTGTTCAGTAGTATTTCCATGTCAGAAGCCTGGCAGGAGTGGTTGTGTCTGAGTGTGGAGGGTGAGACTTACGCGCCGCTCTGAACCTGCATGGATCCGATCTCGTTGTTGCCCCAGCCCATGGCTTGCAGGGAGGGGTAGTCATCGTTTATCTCCCACTGGCGTCCCATGAAGTTCTCCTTCTCAAACAGCACCATCTTTGACTCTTTATGGTTCTGTTTGTACATAAGACAGTCTGAGTCACTAAAGACCAACTCTTTTATATACATTTATTTTATATATATATGTCAAAACTGAAGGAAATTCACACATTCTAATTGTCATTGAGATCTTGTGCTCTATTTTGATCTCCAATAAAAATTCTAGGTGCAAATTTGGGATGTTTCTGTTTTTACTGAATCACGTTCTGAAGGAGCAATAATAGCAGCTGGTTTGGGGAAAAAACGCACTGCAGAGCAGATGGGGCGGAAGGACATCATCCTCTCGATGTGGTAGGCGTTGCTGCCGCTCCATGACTCCCAGTGAGGATATTCTCCTCTCTCCAAAACAAACTGCTGCCCGCAGAAGCTGGAGTGCTCGTATCCTGCCCAGCTGTCGCCAACAAACACAGTCACATGTTATGAGAATGACCATGAAAATACTTGTTTCTAAAAATGTGTCAGAGAAAAGTTTTGAGTAGTTTGTTATTTCGAGCACACAGTTTAAAGCAATAGTTCAGAGCTTTTGAAGTCAAGTTTTGTTGAATCCAAACAGTCATTATCTTACCTGTTGTAGATGGACCGTTTGACTCATGACCGTTTGCAGAAATACAGTTTAACTCTGATCAGATCGACAAGCTAACAGGTAGCAGGGGCTCCTTCAGCACATGCTCAGAGAACAATGAAAGACTAACTTCAGGAGTTTTATTTTGTGGTTTGATTTGATCATGGCTTCATCTGAAATAATGAGGGCGTCAGTCAGGTCTATCRTGATGAAGGAGGAGCTCAATCAAAAGGCAAAGCTCTCAGTTTGGTCTGTCTACATTCCAACCATCTCCTATGATCATGAGGTTTGGATCAGGACTGAACCAACCAGATTCCAGACACAAGCGTCTGAAATTAACTTCATTTTTAGGGCGGCAGGGCTCARATTTAGAGACGAAACAAAGAGCTGCATCATTCGGGAGGAGTAAAAGTGGCATGGATATGCCCCGAGATATTCTTTGAACAAATATGAACATTTTATTTAACTTGCCGACTTTTTCAATAATACAATGGAAAGCTTGTGTAGTTTTCTCTTGGTTTGAACTTACGCCCCACACTCCACCTTGAGGGAGCGGATGTTGTCGATGCTGCACTCCATGACGTTCTGGCAGGCTGAGGTAAACTCCAAACGTTTACCCTGGAAGTTCTCTTGGTCGTAAACTGTGATCTGTAGAGGACAAAACGTGGTGTGTAGACGCTGCACAGGTCCCTGGTGTGACCACTGCAGACAATCAAATGAAACGATTGAACTCACCTTCCATGGTCCAAGTGGGTTGGGATTATTCAAAGCCATTCTACTGGGTGTTTCAGAGTGGATTAACTTATAAAGCAGAGAGAATATGTATGTGAATGTTCATAGAAAAGTTTATTTACATTGAAATGTGTCCTGAACTAGGTTTAGGTTTCTGCGTCTAGTCCCATCATTCTTCAGCGAACTGCATGACGTCACACGAGCCATTTTCATTCCCAATCTTTTCTTTTAACGTAAGCACAATTCAGTCTTCCTGTTCATGGTCAGTACGTCCGTGCGTCCCAGTCTATACATTTATACGACTCAGCAGAGCGAGCAAAGATAAAAGACGCAGAAATGTCAAACAACAATGGTTTGCACACTGAGGACTGAGGTAGAGGGCTTACCTGACCGGGCCCCAAAGAATAGTTGTTCAGCGCTCAAAGGGGCTCCACAAAAACGATGTCCCGACCCCCAGAGAAGACAGACCTATTTATACATGCCGGTGCTGAAAAGCAGCCGAGCCTGCGTGGTCGGGGCAGGAGTCAGCACATTGCTGTTGTGCTCATTGTTTCAGAACTGAGCTGCTGGGCTTTAGTTGGCTGCAGTGGGACTGGATGGAGGGCACCATGCCCAGTGCAAATAAGCAAAAGCTTCAAATGAGCTGTTTCCAGTGGGCGGGGCCGAGTCCTGGCACAACCAGGAAACAAATCAACAAACATTGGCTCAATGGGTCTGATGTAAAGAAGAAAAAAACATTTGGAGGTCAAGTTTGATGTTAAAATTGAAATAATTGCACTTTTTCTTTTAAAACCTGTATGTGAAGTTTATAGTTGGTTTACAAAAAAATAAATAACTAAAGACAAATTTCTTGTTGAACTTTACATTGGACAGTTTTCCTCCTGCATGTCATGTCCTCTCACCTCTTCCCTGACTGCTAAATGCACATGAGCTCAGTCATGAGCTCACATCAAGAAACCACACACACACACAAACTTGTTTTTATATCCTTCTGGGGCCCGTCCATTGACTTCCATTCATTTTTTGGTAATTTTATATTCTAACCCTGACCACAAACCCTAACCCTAACCTGACAGGTACCTGACCCTAAAA